CACTCCCCTCATCTCGACGACACTCATCACCGAACGCCTCGACCCAAGTCCCTGCCTCCTCGCCGTCGGACGCGTCGACCCACCTTCCCGCCGCGCCGACCTTGCTCCCCTACTAGTTCCGAACTTTTCCGGGAGGCATTTTAGTGTGCTTTATAGTATTGGTGCTATAAAACATTTACAGCCATTAGATTATGTTCAAACTATATCAACCATAGATTTTATTTAAATTATTAATATGTTATTTTATTTGTGGGTGGAGAACCGGTACAACCGGTTATCTGAATTTTTTTTACGAATTCAATTCACCACGCAACCTTCTTCTCACCTCTTCTCACCGCCGTTTACTCTTCCTTCGATCCTCTCCACGCAGCTAGCGAGCCAGATTCTGACGACGACAGTGAAAACGGCGAGCAGTGGGTGACGACGAGTAGAAGAAGCTTGTCGATTGCAGCATCTCTTTGACTGCGGCGAGCCGGATTTCGACGACGACAGTGAAGGCGGCGAGCAGGGGACGACGAGAGCGAGCATCTCTTCGTCGATTGCAAACGAAGACCCTCTTCCCATCGATAGCAAACGAAGACCGCTGACCTACCTCCTCCACCGCAACTTTTTCCGGTTAGTATGCCTACAGTTCTACAATTTTATTCAATTTTCCGGTTAGTATGGCTATCAGTTTAGGGATTATATTGGGATGTTCTAGATTTACAAATTTCGGTAGGGGGATTGAAATTCCATGCTCGTTTTACCAGATTGAACTATGGATTGGTTGTTTAGGAACTTGACGAGCTGAAGAAGAATCATTTTAGTTGTCTGCTGTAGGCGAAGAATCAGTTTAGTCATCTGGATTAAGTTGTATAGCATACTGAAGACGATGAGATAGGAGTGGGTATTTGGCCAAACTTAAGTGGCTATTAATGAAAGGCAAGACAGAGCAAGAGGCTGCTGCTACTGTCAAACGAGTTGATATAAACTTGACTTTCTTGCTGTTGTCATTGATCATGCGAATGAGTCTATGCATGTAGACGATGATGGAGAAAATAATATATTGCTTATCAATATGCTCAGATTTAGGTTTATGAGTTTAATTGGTCATGTCCTTTTACCAGGTTGATGTCCTTGTAGTATCTTCTTTGTGTTTAGCTTGATAATTATCTCATGTTTTTATATGAATCACTTATGGATATCGATCATTATGTTTTCTCATTATGATTGATTGGATGTGTTGGAATTGTGTTGATTGTTCAATCAGCCACCAACAAGTTGTTATGAATTTACTCTACTGTCACTCAGTTTTTGTGATGCTAGTCATGTGTAGGATAGATGGCTGAGTGGTTCAAAGTGAAGCATTAAGATCTGTTTCATTTGTTTTTACTCAACAGCTGATATGAGATATCTGGTAGCTGATGGTTTAGCATTATGGTAGCTAAATTTGCTGATAGGGCTATAGATGGAGAGAGGTCTTTGTCAAAGCAACGTGGTGTAATGTGGTTGTTGGTTGCTCCTCCATTAACCATACAGCCATAGATTTCCTGCTACTAAAGTTCATTGTGAGTCGATTTACACATTGAAGCTTGAAGGGAGAGTTGTGCATGGTTGTGGTTGCCTTGCTGGGTAGTGAACAATCATCATTAGAAATACTTGGTTGAATTTTGCATCTGATGGTTTGCGATTGTGATGCAGAGTTGTTTTCTCGTCTTTAACTTCCTTGTCTTGGTATCAGTCATTGTTACTTCCTTTCTTTGGATCGAATTTCGACCACTGGAACTGCTGATCTCCTGGACTTGTATGGTTGGATCGGATTTGTGGATAGACGGTAGCTGGTCTGCTTGCTTCTTTAGTTCTTTGGTCTTGATTGGGTTTTAGGGATGTAAGGAATGGGTTTGTAGAGTTTACTTAATAGTCAATTTTTATCTCCCACATCCCACTAGAGTTCGAGTTATTTTCAGGGTTTTTGCTGTTTATAGAGTTAATTCATAGTCAATTTTGCTTCTTTAAGTTTCTCATATCAGGCCTCAAGGCCGGGAATGAGTTTTATACATCCCTAGACAGATACTGTTTCGAGTTTATCAGGGGAACTAACCTCAGCAAACGACTCAGTGGTCTTAGGGCTATCAATTTCGCTGATCTTCCGTGACATTTTTTTTTTGTTTTGCTTATCTTCTGTTTTTGAGGTGTTGGAGTGTTTGTTGTCATTCATTTCTCTCAATCAGGCTCCAAGCCAAGTAACTGGTCACTAGTTGCCTAACTAAGTCAACAATGCCGAGTATCTGCTCTGCTAGTTCATCTCTACCTTGCCACTTGGTTATGTTTTTTCCCAGCTTAGAAACCAGCAATAAACTTAAACAGCAACTGGTTTTTGTTTATGTCTGTAGATCAATTATCAAACTAGGCCGATCACGATTCGAACACACGCTGGGACCGACTTCCTGAGTGTCCTGTAGCATCCTGGATATGGTGGTTCTGGTTTCAGCATAGACTTTTGAAAATAACATTTTCTTTGTTGTGTTTGCTTTTGCATCTGATTCATTATATATGGCAGATGGCAAAGGAGACACATGAGGAATCTCATTCTCTTTGCATTTATAAAACAATGAATGGATGAATGAGATGAGATGAGATGAGAAAATGTTGTGAATGATTTGGATCTAAACAACCATGTCAGAAATCTCTGTACAAATCATCTCTTCCAAACTTCATACAACTTCCCCACATCAAGAAAACCAGGAAAAATGGCAGCCTGCTTCTTTCCATGCTTGCTCCAACAGTTTGCCTGCTAGATCACACCCTCTAGTTTCGGAGATCGATGACCTTGATAACAAGTTTGAGACTGCAAAGAGAAAACCTTTTCTTCTGTGAATAGATGATTAAACCTTTTCTTCTGTTTTGCTTATCTCATGAGAAGATGTTACGGTTGTGAAATTTCCAGAATTAGCCGTGAGAATGTTTAGTGAAATCTGGGTGTTTTGAGTTTCACGGCTTATTTTAACGGCCGTGATTTGTGAAGCCAAAGCCGTGAGATTGTCTAGAGATATGAAAACTACTCTTTGCTTGTCACGGGTCATGTCACGGCCGTGAGAATTTGCATTTTGGGTGAAATGTAATGAAAGCGGGGTGTTTTGGGTGAAATTTATATATGCCAATGGCGGATTTCATGGTTAATTAGTGTACTCAGGTGTTGATGTAGGGGGTTTTCAGTTCTTCTGGTAGTTAGAACTTGTATTTTGTTTGTACTCTTCGGCATGCTTATAATTCGTGTTTCAAGGCATGCTTATAATTTTTCTGTTGTTTTAATTTTGCATTTTGCTAAAATTGTTCTATAATGAAGACGAAGAGGCATCAAATTTTCAGCACGCGATGTTCTCCTAGGAAAGTATTCTCACTAGTCTCAAATTTAGAGGCTTGTCAATCAGAGGCCATTAAGAGATGTGGCTTTGGTCGTATTCTTGAAGTCAAAGGAAGAATGCTACAACGTGAGTTGTTGGAGAAACTTTTGAAGAGCTTTAATCTGGAAGAAAGCACAATTAAGGCGTATGGGTTGGAAGTGCATATTTCGGCCAAAGATTTCGAGCGAATTATGGGCGTGCCTGAGGGAGGTACTGATATCATCTTGAATAGTGAAGAAGTGGGAGGAAGATCGGAGGAACTGGAACCATTTAGAGTGTTTTCGACACGTGATTGTGGCCGACAGGCGATTTCCACAAGCTTAATGCAGAAGGCGTTGTCGAAGATGAAAGATAGCGGCGATCTATTTCTTCAAACGTTTATTTTGTACGTGATGGGGGTGCTATTAGTACCAACTAGAAGAGATAACATTTCCTTGTCTTCGGTATACGCTGTCACCGATGTTGCAGACATTCCGAAGAAGAATTGGGCATCCTTTTGCTTCAATGAATTGGTCAAATGCATCTGCGACCATAATGCTTATAGGAGAGAGTATATACCGGGTTGCTTGCTGTTTTTGGAGGTAAATAATTGCTAATCCCGACTTTCTACATATTTGTAATGATTAATCATCATGTTGATTATAGTATTTTTTTTGTAGTTAATATTCTTGGAGCATGCAAATGGTATTTTCCAAACCATTGATGGGAGTTTGGATTTGATGAGTTGGGGGAGCGGAAACGTGGAGTTATTGTTAACAAAAGTGGTAAGATTGATAGTATATTTGATTCTTTTGACAAGTTGGAGCATGCTAATGGTACATTTGGTTCCCTTTTTAATTAATTTATAGGTTTCCAGCAGTTCGGGGAAAAGATCAGCTGAGGATGCCGGTTTGAAATCACCTCCAAGGAAACGGGGAAAAAGAGACGGGAAACGGCACAAACCCGACGGGGATGAGCTGCTTCTCTGTGAGCGTATTGATGCTCGGTTTAGTACCATGGAGGGTAGAATTGACCACTTTGGTCAAGAATTTAGAGTGGCAATGGGTGATGCTGCTTCTAGAGATAATGAGCTAATGAGCCGGGTTGTGAAAATGGAGAACGAATTTCGGGCTTTTAGAGACGAAATTCGTACTGCAGTGAAGTCCCTTATAGAGGCAGTGAAAGCAACTGTAGGTGATTCGTTGTCAAGGGAGCAGCCTACTGAGTTGAAAAAGAACGATCAGAAGGATGCGGCTGATAACGTGAAAGCTTCTGCAGTTGAGTTGAAAAAGAACGATCAGAAGGGTGAGGTTGAAAAACCAAGGGAACCCATTTCTCCTACCTCCGAATGTGTCAAGACTGCCAAAGTTGAGAATTCGGGAGAAGCTGAGGGGGAAATTGGAGATGACAAATGTTCTGAATCTCCTTCTGTGAAAGTTGTGAAAAAGTCTCCTTGCAAGCAGCCTAAAGCGTCTAAAGTTGAGAAATTCATATTGTTGAGTGATGAAAGTGTTGTTGCTAATGATGGTTGTTCCAAGACTGTGAAGGTATTTCACTTGATTAAGTTTTCTAATTATTGGTTCTTATGGTGTGGTTACTAATGAACTGGTTTTGTTTTTATGTTTTTGAACAAGAAAGGGGCGAAAGGGAGGTGGACTACGTAGTGTGTCTAAATTGAAGCCTAGTTTGTATGTGGTCTCTCCATTCGAACGGGCAAATCCCAGAGCTAAGAAAGGACAACCTTTGTACCGTGCTCCTCCCTTTGTTGTTCAGACACCATTGACTCTGGAGGCAGTAAAGATGATTCAATTTGCTTTTAGTAGTAAGCTTCCCGAAAGGTACCTCCCGAAATCATTACAAGTAAGATTGGATCATATTTGTTGGATGTTTTTGGTATTTGTCTTATTCTAATGTTGTGTTATTTGAACTTGGTATTGTATAACAGTGACATATTGGTTAGTCTTGGTGGCGGGGTTCTTTCCTTGTTACGTGAAGATTTGGTCGAGCTTTTGCCAAGGACCCGAATTTCAACAAGGGTGAGTTCCTTTATGTGTGTAATTTAGTAGATTGAACGTCTATTGCTGACTTTGGTATATGTGATGATGATGCATTAGATTATAGAAATGGCGTGTCTGTGCAAGACACTAGAAGAACGAAGTTGTGGTCGCAGTGGTGGCTTGTCTTGGTTCTTTCCACCTTCAGTTTCGGTACAGTTGTCTGCTTTGTCTATTCTTGTCATGAAATTAATCTATTTTTTGTTACATGTAGCTTGTGTGGGTGACTGTGCTTTATTTTTCTAGGATCGTGCGAATCATTGCAACGAGGAGCAATTTATGGCTAAGATGCGTTCATATAAGATACTTGAGCGATACCGTATAAGTGAGCTACTTTACTGCAGTAAGGTATGTTGTAATGTTGTTTTCTAAAAGGAAATGGCTTCACCCTCCTATGTTAAATTGATAATTATTGTTTGTTTGTCCATTATTTCAGATTCATGTCCCAATTTTCAACCTCACGTTGAACCACTTATATCTGGCGGTCTTTAACATGGAAGCCAAAGAAATTGAAATCTGGGACTCATTAATAGGAACTCATAATGAAGAATATGATGCAAGGATGCAGAAACTGGTTTGCTTCTTGTTCTTCAAGTTTTCAAGCTTGACTTATTGCTTAGTTGTTAGTTGTTTTTCATTTGCCGACTTTGTCGTTATATATCGATGAGGGGGATGTTTTCATTTGCAGAAATTGGGTCTAGATTGGTTGCTTAAGGATGATATCTGCGGGGCGTTTTCATTTGTGGACTTCGTGGTTAGATATCGCCAGGATGTTGCTTGCCAACCAAATGGGTACCCTTTGTTGTTGTTCAATCGTGCACTGTTCTAATTAAGTTCGATAATTATTTGTTCGCATCATGACCATGGTAATTATTTGTTATATTACAGATTTGATTGTGGGCTATTTGTCGTCAATTACTTGCTGGATCCAAATCGATATTCCAAGAAGTTTGACCAGTTCGACAGTGACTATGAGCGGGCACAACTTACAATGTACTTGCTCACTACGCATCTGAATGAGGTGAAAGCTACAGTTAAGACACAATCAGATGAATATTTTGAGAGTCATGCGAGACTTGCCCAAATTGAGACCGAGAAGGTGAATTTCAAGACAAACTTACTCAATCGAGGAAGAAAGCCGTTGCACGCGCATGGGGAGAAAAAGGGTAGAAAGTCTAAGAAGCATTGAGACTTGTGATGTTAATGTAGAGTTTAGTTAATGTGGATGTTGATTGAAGTTTAGGATAATGTAGATGTTGAATGAATTTTAGTGAATTTAGATGTTGAATGAAGTTTAGGAAACTGTTGAAATTACAATGAAGTTATGAATGAAGCATTATTCAGTGATGTTATTTTTTCTCTATATTATGTTTAATGTGTCGACAAGGAAAAAGTTATGCATGATCATATACCGAAAAATGGTTGAAAATGGACCTTATTCACCCTGCCAGAGGCTGTTTCACGGCCTCAATAAGCCATTTTCACGGCCGTGAGATGGTGATTTCTCATTGTCTCTGATGCTTAGGATGTATCTTTCACGCCCGTGAGATGGGATTTTTATAACGCCTTAATGATGGTAATTTTACGCCCGTGAGACTGGGCCTTGAGAATCAAAAAATCATTCCCTATGTTCAGAGAACCTCACGGTCTTGAAAGGACCATCTCACACCCGTGATTCAAGACCATCTCACACCCGTGAGATTGTGGGCTCGCTTGTTAGTGGAAAAAAACGTCATTAAGAAGGTTCGAACCAGAGCGCACTTGGCATAATAATTCAGCGTATTAACCAGTCAGACTACTTAACATAATTTGTAAAATACATTGTTCGTTTGCTTTTTACTACGTATGGTTGAATGAGCGTGTGATTATCGGTTTTGGGTTGAACCCCATGTAATTATGAACCGATGTGAGATTGGTTGATGATATATGGTTTAGTGAGTGTTTGATTACGGTGTTTGGGTTGAACCCCATATAATCGTGAACCGATGTGAGATTGAGGTTATGTATATGGTTTAGTGAGCGTTTTATTATCGGTTTTGGGTTCAACCCATGTAATTGTGAACCGATGTGAGATTGAGGTTATGTATATGGTTGAATGAGCGTTTGATTATCGGTTTTGGGTTCAACCCCATGTAATTGTGAACCGATGTGAGATTGAGGTTATGTATATGGTTGAATGAGCGTTTGATTATCGGTTTTGGGTTCAACCCCATGTAATTGTGAACCGATGTGAGATTGGTTGATGATATATGGTTTAGTGAGCGTTTGATTAAGGTTTTTGGGTTGAACCCCATGTAATTGTGAACCGATGTGAGATTGAGGTTATGTATATGGTTTAGTGAGTGTTTGATTATCGGTTTTGGGTTGAACCCATGTAATTGTGAACCGATGTGAGATTGAGGTTATGTATATGGTTTAGTGAGTGTTTAATTATCGGTTTTGGGTTCAACCCATGTAATTGTGAACCGATGTGAGATTGAGGTTATGTATATGGTTGAATGAGCGTTTGATTATCGGTTTTGGGTTCAACCCCATGTAATTGTGAACCGATGTGAGATTGGTTGATGATATATGGTTTAGTGAGCGTTTCATTAAGGTTTTTGGGTTGAACCCCATGTAATTGTGAACCGATGTGAGATTGAGGTTATGTATATGGTTTAGTGAGTGTTTGATTATCGGTTTTGGGTTGAACCCCATGTAATTGTGAACCGATGTGAGATTGAGGTTATGTATATGGTTTAGTGAGCGTTTCATTATCGGTTTTGGGTTCAACCCATGTAATTGTGAACCGATGTGAGATTGAGGTTATGTATATGGTTGAATGAGCGTTTGATTATCGGTTTTGGGTTCAACCCCATGTAATTGTGAACCGATGTGAGATTGGTTGATGATATATGGTTTAGTGAGCGTTTGATTAAGGTTTTTGGGTTGAACCCCATGTAATTGTGAACCAATGTGAGATTGAGGTTATGTATATGGTTTAGTGAGTGTTTGATTATCGGTTATGGGTTGAACCCATGTAATTGTGAACCGATGTGAGATTGAGGTTATGTATATGGTTTAGTGAGCGTTTAATTATCGGTTTTGGGTTCAAACCATGTAATTGTGAACCGATGTGAGATTGAGGTTATGTATATGGTTGAATGAGCGTTTGATTATCGGTTTTGGGTTCAACCCCATGTAATTGTGAACCGATGTGAGATTGGTTGATGATATATGGTTTAGTGAACGTTTGATTAAGGTTTTTGGGTTGAACCCCATGTAATTGTGAACCGATGTGAGATTGAGGTTATGTATATGGTTGAATGAGCGTTTGATTATCGGTTTTGGGTTCAACCCATGTAATTGTGAACCGATGTGAGATTGGTTGATGATATATGGTTTAGTGAGCGTTTGATTAAGGTTTTTGGGTTGAACCCCATGTAATTGTGAACCGATGTGAGATTGAGGTTATGTATATGGTTGAGTGAGCGTTTGATTATCGGTTTTGGGTTGAACCCATGTAATTGTGAACCGATGTGAGATTGGTTGATGATATATGGTTTAGTGAGCGTTTGATTAAGGTTTTTGGGTTGAACCCCATGTAATTGTGAACCGATATGAGATTGAGGTTATGTATATGGTTGAATGAGCGTTTGATTATCGGTTTTGGGTTCAACCCATGTAATTGTGAACCGATTTGAGATTGAGGTTATGTATATGATTGAATGAGCATTTGATTATCGGTTTTGGGTTCAACCCATGTAATTGTGAACCGATGTGAGATTGGTTGAGAGTATATGATTTAATGAGTGTTTGATTATGGTTTTGGGTTTAACCCATGTACTTGTGAACCGACGTGAGATTGGGTTTATGATATATGGGTTGATTTTCGTTTGATTATGGTTTTGGGTTAACCCATCTAATTATAACCGATGATTTTTTGGGTCGGTCATAATGAAGAAATTCCTAGATCCTAAACCCTCACCGTCGTAAGTCGTAACAGTGATGCCGTTTCTTCCTTCTCGTCCTCCGTCGGCGCCAGAGGACTGATCCTCGGTTCCTCCCTGTCGGCTTCTTCCTTCCAGCTTCCCTCTCTCCCAGCCTCGGTTCTTAATTGTCGTCCTTCGTCGGCTCTTCTCCACCAATATTACGAAACCAGATTCTTCCTTCGTCTTCCCTTCTCTACGCAACCCATCCTTCGCGACGAAGACATTCAAGCACGATCCTAGCGAGCAACAGTGCAGCTCCGTTCTCATAAAGCACCTATCGAGCACATCAAGGCGATCATAACTGCGTAGGAGGTTTTGTTGCTGAATTCCAAGGACCCTTCTGTCACCCCCTTCGTTGAAGAGCTGCAAAAAAGGCTTACCTTCCATTTTCACGCCACCAAAGCACAGGTATGGGAATTTTTTGTAGCTTTATCTGTAAGTTGCTAGATTGCAAAATTCGAATTCATGGTGATCTATGGGTTTGTGGAGCTATTTGATGAAACTTCATTTGTTAAGTGTGTAGAGAGCTTCTTTGTTTGAAGTTGAATTTGGTTGAATTGATCTTCATATGGGAAAGGACAATCCATGGTTTCATATAAGGGACGTGCCTGTTTGTGCTACCCTTTGTACTGTACATACAGTCACAGAGGTTTGATTAGGTTCATTTTTATAAATGCCGAAGTTGAAAGAGGGGAATTTCAATGTACTTTCAGCAGTTCATATCAGGATACTTATTGAACTTTCATGTGCACTTGTGATTTCTCTGCACCTGGTGTGATTGCAGCATTGTTGAGTCTTATCAAGGCCCTGTGTTAGATGGTCCTCTCTAATCGTGATCGGAGCTCTCTGGTTGTCTTCTTTGTTCAATTTGGTGGGTGTTGTGAATTGTGATCTTGCTTTGCTTCATTTCATTTGTGAATGGTTGGTTTGTCGCGGAAGTGAAGGGGAAACTATCGAGCTGATATGTGGATTACA